TTATCAGCAGAAACCTTTTCCTACTGACAGGTGATGCTCCACTCTGACGCACAAAACCCAATTTTAACACGTTGAAACCTCGCAATGTAATGAGCTGCAGCAGACCCTGCACGCATCTGCTTAGTTTGTCAGCTCTCACACCTCGCTGCTGTGTGAACTGAACAATAAACCCACAATACGAATAGTTACACATGGAACCTGAACCAGTGAAAACATCCATAGAGCTGTAGTAAACACACAGTTTATGATGTTTATGAACAAATCACGGTGAGATGTTTGGAACCAAACAGAAGTAACCTGAGATTTTAATCAAGTGAACCTGTTCTGTGGCAACATACAAAGGAATTGTATTTGTATTTTGTGGTTTGACATTATATTTCAGGGCCGACCAGCCAGAAACTGATATTATTCCTTAACCATACATGTACAAAGTCTGTGCAAATGAAAGCCACACATATAAAATGTCTGTTTTAGAACCAACTTTGCAGACAGGTTGGTCCTAATGAGACTTATTATTTCTACAGTTTTCATAATCTACAATTTTCTACAGTTTTTTTTCCCGTGGTGCTAAGGAAGCTGCTCAAGATGTTACTGGTCAGCAGTGGAAATGAAGCCGTAACAGCATTGTATCAAGTGTTTGACCTTTTGTGAACATTAGGAACAAAATTTGATTAGGATATTGAAGCCAGTCTGTTTTGTTTTTTTAAGAAAAGCACAAAAGCTGAAATCTCCACAGACTAGCCACAGATCAGATGATAAAATAAAACAGAGGGTCAGGGGTGAGTTGAGGGTGTAATAGGACCACAGCTGTATACAAAGTGTGTGTGTGTGTGCTCATATTCAAGTATTTTACATGAATATGAAACACAACAATTTAACAAAGCAGTTTTTTATTTGTTTTCCTCAGGTAATTAGTTTAATTAACTGCAGTATAAGTAAATACCCCAAGAGTGTCGTTCTGTTATACTGTTTACCATCACAAGGAAAATGTTCAGAAAACGGATATTTTCTCAGGACCCGAGGAGCTTATGTCATCACCTGATGACTCTGTTTGATTGTATTTTTAATCACAGCTTCCTTTTGGGTAGGAACTTAAACAATTGAGGTGTTTTCCCTGAGAGGCTGCGAACTCTGAGAGAGTGGAAAATACATTTTTTAAGTTTTCTCACTTTTCTGTGATGCTTCCAACTCAACGTAACTTTGGCAACACGTACTGGAGTTTGACTGCAGATGTTGTCAGGATAAGTAATTTGTCAAAATTTGTTAAAAAAATAAAATAAAATAATTTTGTAAACAAGCAATACAACCTTTAAGAAATTGTTTTGGGGGTTTTGTAAGTGTTCCTGAGGCGCAGTAGTTGTAGTCACTGATTCAACACTAAAAGATTCGAGCAACACAGATAATTGAGTGGAATTAACAGAGGACTTGGCCCTTCCCTTTCCTCAAGAGCCTTTACAGACCCTTCCTCCCCGCACCACCAACAGCAGTGTGTTTTATTAAAAGTCTCGTACATCCGGATAATTCTCATAAAGGTAACACTGATCTCCACCTTTTTTGGACAATGTCAGCTCCGAGTCAGACATTCTTTGTCATTTTTTTTTCATTTTCATTAGAAATAAACAGGAATATAGATTGAAAGACTGGATGAGGATTTTTAAATTAAATAAAAGCATTAAAGCTGGAGCCAAGGTTCCCTACAGTACTCCTTATCCACCATCCTCTGCGTCTCCTAAGGAGGTTATGTCTCTAAAAGACTCTTCCTCTTGCACTTAAGTACAAAGTGATTTTTTTGTTTTTGCTGAGTTCCTTTTCTACTTAATATGATGATTCACTTTGTTTACTTCATGACAAATTCAAGTTAGTAGTTTACAAAATTCACTTTCCTCACATCCTCGCTATGATCAACGTTTGCAGAGACAACAAGGAGACATGAGTCAATCTGCTGTAGTTTCCTTGGAATGGAGGGCATTTAGTGCGGCCCTCACCGAATGTGTAACAGTCGAGCTTAAACTTCTCTATTAATATTTCATTGGCATTCAACACAGAGCATTTACATGCACTCAGTAGCCACAATAGGAGGTAGTGTATCTTCATGGTGCCAGAGATTAATTTTCATTCAAGGTTCAAAGTGAAATATTTATGGTAATTTTTATAGTCTAGCTGTGTGTGAGATTAAAAATCCCTCTGCTCTCTGTTGATGGAAATGTTAAACATCTCAATAGTCAATTTTTATTTTTATATTTCTTTTCCATCAAATATCCCTAGCACGAGATGGCATACGCACAGCAGGGCGCCCTCTGCTTTTGTGAAATACATGTTAATTCTCATGCAGAGTTGCCGACACGCAGGAATAAATTCTGGTATATCATTTGGGGATTAACTGTCTGTTCCAGTTTAAATAGTAAAAAATATAAACGCCAGGAAAGCTTAGATATATGATCTGATACGGACCGATCTGCATATCTCTGCAGATACAGTAACAAAGTGTTACACTGTGCTGTTTAGGCTTAATGAGTTTTGTTAGTACCGTGGCATCAGATGCGCATTAGACACTTCCTTTCCTGATATCACTCCTGAGGGAAATCAGGACAAACTGATCGTTTGCATTCAAGGCAGAAGATGCACAGAGATAGTTGAATTTATGTCACAGGTGAGAAATATATTTATATGAAGTTTTTATGGTACATTTATGGTAAAGACTCTCTCTACATGATGCTTTTGCAGTTTGGCCCCTGACTGACTCCCACAGTACAGAGCAGGTGTCAAACTCAGGCCCGCGGGCCAAATCTGACCCCTGGTGTAATTATATTTGGCCTGCCAGATCATATCAAATGTGTATTAGAGCTGGCCCAACAGTGTGTAGTCACTATATAGTGGCAGGATTTGAGATATTAGCGATGTGTGCGTGATATTATAGCACATACAGTTTTGGTTGTTCTTTTGTTGTTGGCCTGTGAAGAAAAGATGAACATTAAAAGGAACTCAAAAGGCTAGAGATAGAGACATATAAGAAATAAATACCACTGATGTGTGTCTTATTTTAAATGTAATTTTTGTGTTTATAATTTTAAGCGTTGGTTCTTTCAGATTCAATGTTTACGCAAAGAAAATAACATACCTTTAAAATAGCATATGTCATTGCATATGTCATTGCATATCTCACTACTACATATCTGGAGAGAAGGGAAAACATTTTAATATTTTTTCAATAAATATTAAGTTTGGCCCACTGTGAAATTGAATTTGACACCCCTGCCATTTTTAAAACGTAATAATTTAAACTTAAAATTTGGGAGAACAAAAGATGACAGCCAATCAGACGGCAGACTTTTTTCTCACGGCTCAGTTCCAATCAAAGCACTGTTTCATGGTGAGTCACATTTCCATCAGGCCTCCACAGAAGTTCCTCCACAATGGAGAGATGATGAAAGGCCTTTGTACATGCAGCTTGATATTTTAAAATTTTAAAAGCAAACCAGAAAATTTGACATCAAAGCTTTTTTGCTATAAAGACGAACAGTTACGCAGCAGGCTGGAGATTTGACACAGCAGCTTTGGAAGGACACTGTGGATTGTGAGTGTTTCTCACAATACGGTTACTGTAGACACGGCTACACTAATGATTTCTGCATTTTGTGCAGATGGCGTAAAAACATAAAAATGTTTTACTTTTTTTGTAGCAGCAACTCTCCAGTATGTGGCGTCAAGAGCTGGCTATGAGTACACTTAGTCTAAGAAATATAGATTCAGTCATACATATTATACAAATATAGCAGAGTAATGACTCTGATGTAATGACAGATACTTTACGTAAACGTTCTCTTTCTAATTGTTTCTAAACAGTATTCCAAATTTAAAAATCATGAGTTTCGTCAGAACCTAGCCTAAACCTCCACTTGTGTCTCATAGCAGTTGGTTGTAGGGATGGTGTTGTTTAATTGGGCGTTTGCCTTCTCTAGTCTGCATTTGTTTTCTGATGACACTTTAACAAAAACGTGAAGAGCTGAACTAAATGGCACGACGTAGATATGGGGTCTTAGAGGATAGAGGGTCAGATGATATTGTACTGACATCTACAGCAGTGGTGGACCACAGTGGAGAAGATTCAATACAACATAAAACACCCAAACAGTTCTGCACAATAGGTAATTCAGCATCAGTTTAGCTTCACTCCCACAAATGTGTCACATTCAAGTGCCTGCCTGACCTGCCTTGACAACCTGGCAGGATGAAAAGATGAAGGGTGGGATAAGTGGATGAATGAATGATAGTTCACATGTAACATATTTTATGCAACAGGCACAAGTGAAGCCACCCAGTTCTGTCACTGTGCAACAGAACTGTGTGGCTTCACTTCAAGATCACAGAATTGATCCTGCACCACCCATGATGGGTAGAAGAAGAAAAAAACACCAGAGAGAAAAGTGTTAGAAAAGCTGCGTCTGACAGATGTGGACAAAAAATGATTTTACTGTATTCTCCAGTGGTTAATCACAGTTGGAGTTCCGTTTGTTTGCTGCATATTAACTTGATTTTTGCGTGGGAACATTTGCACCTGTGTCACTCACACACCCACAAAAGAAAGCCAATGTAGCACAGTCTAATGAACGCTCACAACTGGCGAATGTAAACAAAGCCTTCTGAGTAGCAGAATTGTGACCACGTACATTCACTAATAATACAAATTTCAACGTATTTGTCCACTTTGCTCCGGCGTTAGACTCATGATATGTTTTAGTTGTGGGGCTATTCTTCATCCTTCATCCTCCGTCCTCTGTCCACTTGAAGGTCTGCCAAGACCTTGTGCTCATTAAATCAAATTTCTTTTTCAATCATTATTTGTTGTCATAAAATTGACACTAATACTTTTCTGCCCGACGTGTTAAGACGCAGTCATTTGATACATTTTGTTTTCAGTGAAAATTAAAGGGCACTGACATGTTCTGCCACAAATGACCTGTCTGTCAGCAGAGAAACAAAGAAAGAGCTGCTCTGTTAGACCCCCACTCTCTGCTTCTTCTTACGTATATCACCTTCTTCACCTTTAAACCTTATCATTCCGAACCAATTCTTTGCGAACTCTTAGTCGATATTATTGTCGAACCTGGAAGGACATGATGAGTAATTTGGGATTATATGTCCTGCTCTAAGGATATGTCACCATGCTGGCCAGATGAGCTTGGCTCCTAGATGGAAATCAATTCATCACTGCTCCATAGTCATAGCAAAACTGAACTGGATTTTTAGTAAGCTACGCAAACTGTTCTTTCAGAGACTTTTACTTTGATAAGATAACATTGGCTTGTTAAAGGAAAAAAAAAAGAAAAAGAAAAGAAAATCTCACTCTTCATATCCTGCAGCTTGTCTGCTGTAGGGACACAGTTTATAAAAACAACACTGACCTTTTCCACAACCTCACGAAATTCCACAAAATCCCATTAATACTTTAATGTCCTGAGGCCATGGTGGACCAAGTCCCACAGCTGTGGTCACAGCCTGCCTTAGTACTCAATCTGTAGCTGGGACAGAGTCACGTCTCCACCTACTACCTCACACCGAGCCAATTGAGTCACCTGAGGGAACGTAAGGGTCTGTGGAATTATTAATGAGCCAGTCTGCATTACTATGGATGAGTAAATCTCTCCATGTCACACCATGAGCCCATATGATGAATTATATATCCGGCATGCTCCAACACCTAAATAATTTCAGTGTTCAATGTACTGTTGTTTTTTATTAGCTTAAAAAAAGATCGCAAGAAATTACTAGCTCCAACTCTGATAGTTAACAGTTTTTTTCAAATGTATATTTTCTTGCTTAGGCCGTGTTTCCCAGAGTTGTGTGCAGCTCTCCAAAGTTTGAAATTGTTATCATTCTTCTTTGTTAGTGTCTGATCATTTTGAAAGGAGCTGCGACGCAGAGGAACATGGGTGACCGAAGAAAAGTGTACTGAGATACAAAGTGGTTTCAGAAACTGTCACTGAACATCTGTTCAAAAGCTCCAGATTTCAGTTCCTGGTGCCTCACATCTTGAGAACTCACTAACCCTCTTTTCTCTCTCCTCAGGGTTTAGTGATAGAACGATTGGGCAGAAAGCCCCTCCTCATATTTGGCTTCTGTGCCATGGCTGTGTTCTTCAGTCTACTCACAGTCTTCCTCCATTTCCAGGTAAATGTCTCTCTCTGAACTCAATCTAGTCCCACGGTGAGTCAGGAGCCCACTGTGTCGCTCAGTCGCGTGGTCCCATATCATGTGAACAGATGTCTGTGTTGGCGTAGAGGAGTCATTATGCAAAACAGAATGTCTGCATCTCCGTAACACAAACAGTGTTTAGCAGACTGGAATTATACAGAACATGAGCAGCAATATTAATGAAAATCACGTCTGTTTGTCAACAGGGTGCAACCAAAGAAACATCTTTGTAATGTCAACTGTAAACTGTAAACAATTTGCATCAGTTCTTTCATATATTTATATCTATATACATATATATATATATATTATATGTCCCCATATAAATAGAACCATTCAAGTCGAAGTAAAATGTTTATATTTCAAAATTGTCAAATTGCCTCAAATGAAACATCACATGATAAACATATGATGAAATCTGAACTGTGCCAGACCTGTTCAGTTCAAAGATATGTTTAAAGTCTTTAATACTATGTCTGTATTTCTGTCTCGGTTTACAGGACAGTGCTTCTTGGTTTCCATACCTCAGCTACGCCTGTATATTGGCAGTGATCGCATCCTTTTGCTCTGGTCCAGGTAAAACCACTTCCCTTTGTTTCCTCATCAGGGTCGAATGTTTCTGAAGGCGCGGAGATCTGTAATCGATGAGCTTAACTGACAAATTAGCTAGTAGGATTTAGCATTCAGCGGGTGTGTCAGTATTTACAACCACATGAGAACCAAGCTTTATCTCACTGGTTGTTTTTTTTACAACCGTGTGGCCATTTTCAAGAAGGAAAACATGATCTCTATGACAATGGCCTCATGTTAAAGGATTATTGACCAAGGGAAGATTTAATTCACACCTCCACCACAGTAGCTACATTCTAACCCAAGGCCTGATGGAACAAGTGATCTGCTCCAATGATTCTGTGCTGTGAGTTGTTTACAGATGGAGGCAATGTTATTGTCACTTAATAACATGCCCAAATATGGGCATGTTATTAAGGCCGTCATCTCACAACATTGTTATTTCCGTCTAGTTCACCACATGCGTAACCCATTTAGTGATACCTGACAGTTTTACACTTGATCCCGCTCCTTATGTAACCATCTCATCTATGTTGTTAGCTGGGGAGCTGGAGTCCCATCATTGAATACTGGCTGGGTTTATTCATGCACACTAGATTTCTGATGGGAGTCCAGTTTGAGTTTAGAGGTCAGGCTACGGTTGTCATCACACATATACACACGTACACGTATACATGTACTGAATAGAAATGTCTCCAGGGAGTTGATGTCCAGTGGTGTGTATGTGTGAGTAAATGTTGGTAAAGGGTTAACCTACATACCAAGAGTCCATAAAGCAGGACAAAACAAAAGGATGATGATGAGAAGTGAAAGAATCCTCCTTCTGAGCAACGCTACTCTCCTTTTTAACTATAGTGACCTTCACAGCTACATTCATAGAGTAATAGCCAAGAAATTGCAGCGAAGTCCAAGGAAAAAATAATGATTTATTGCATGTTAAATAAAAATAGATCCTCACTGGCCTGGAGGATTGAGTGAGGTCCTGCAAGGGATGAGAGTATGCTGACGGCAATGATTCGCAATGAGAGTGGAAAGATGGGACTTTCAGACTAAGTTATATTTTCTAAAGATTATAAAACACTGCATTTTTGCATGAAAACATTTCTGTCCACAAGGGGGGGTGTGACAGAGTTAATAAAGAACCACTGGTTTAGACATAGACATTGACCTACTAGGTGGCAGCATTGTCACCTTCAAAGGGAGATGAGCATAAACTGCATATATTAGTGAAGAAATTATTACTTTGGTATCAGAAGCCCTCGCCAGTGTTATTTTTACTGTTTCACAGAGGGAAAGTACTCTTCAGATGTTTGAGGTGTAACTAAAGAAAAAAAATATTAACTTCAAAGACACTGTCAGCTTGATGGGTTTCTTTTCACCAAAAGCTTGTTTTCTCCATTTGTTTTTTACATTGCTCAAACACAGGTGTTTTTGGTGAAACTGGCCTATGTTCTACTGCTGATCACATAAAATGGAAGAAGTTAGAAACAAACTTTTTCCCTGATGAAAGACGAGAGTCTTCTCATTTTTTGTTGTTGTTGAAATTACAGGGTCTACATAGAACACAATGTTCTGTGGGTCTTGAAAAAAATCAGTCAGAATGCTCAAAAACACTGGAAGTCTGGGGCTCTCTGCTCTGAGAACGACTCGCACCCAATGAGTTTATACCCAAATACCTGGCTGTATTAGTCAGCACTGAGGAGAGAAATATTCCTGAATCAGTCTACAGAAATGCAGCCCCAAACTTGAAAGAACCATCTATATTTTACTGTCTACAGACACTTGTATCTGACCACCAAACTGTCTTCTGCTCCAGGCCAGTATTTACAATTTTTGACACGTCAGCTGTTACTTTTCTGCCCCTCAGTTTGGGGGTTTGTTTGATTTGTTGGAAGTGACTCATGGCCTTGTTTTCTTGACAAGAAGGTACTGATTTTTGGCCGTATCGGGTGCACATGGGTCCCACTGGCTTCTGCCTACTCTGAACTGATAGCACTGCTGGGCATCTTCACAACACTTGATGTTCTTGTTTTCTAACTCTAATACTAACTATGTTTGTCCAGCTGACCACTGGCTCTAAAATCCTCATTTCTGCCATGTTGTTGCAAAATGGCTGCCTTTGTTTGGTTGATCATTAGCACCTGTTTGATCCAATCAGTTGAACATACGCCTGACTTTAATCCTACGTGTGCTGACTTTGTAGAAATGGACTGAAAAGAATTGGTAGCAAAGGCTAGTGTTGTGTTTTTTACCTTGTTTTCTCACTTTGGAGTTGGTAGAGGCAAAATGAATTTCCCTTAAGTTACCTTACACTTAAAAACACTCAGTGGAGTTGTAACGAAAAGAAAAGGAGGATGTGTTTTCTGTGTCAGGGTTATTTCAAGTGACTGCAGTGTTTACCTGTGGCAGAGGTATTTAAGGGGCTAAGATTTGAAGGAAAGCACAGTTTTGGTGCTGAGGTTGTTTTGTTACAGTGGCCATTATGTCAGCTTATATTCAAGATAAAATTAAAAAAAAAATCATGATATTTGAAATCTTTAGTAAGATTTCAAATATCATGAATTGGAGTGAGAAGTGAGAATAAAATATATCCCAATAAATTACTAGCTAAAAACATAAACATATTTAAAGTCCATTAAAGTGGTTTGTACTGAATGACAATAACAATAAAACATCATTTAACATGTAGTTCAGCAGAGATAGCTGTGGGGATCAAACTGTTTTGAGTCAGGTGGTTTGTGTTTTGTCAGCCTCGCAGTGTTTGCCAGATGGCAGGAGTTCAAAGCGTGGAGCCTCAGCGTGAGGCGACTTTAATGATGTATGTTGTTCTGCTGATGTAACCTAAAGTGGCGTGTTCTTCCACAGCGTCAGGAGAGAAGTGGAGGGATATTTACTGCCCACTTAGTGGCCCACCTTTTTTTTTCTGCTGCAGCCCCCCTATCGCACTTACAGCAGCTTTTGTATGTTTGTGATAGTACGTAACCAAGGAGACAGCTGACTGAACTGGCACACAGTTTACCACAGTGGTTTTGGATGTATGTAGAGAAATGTCTCAGCCTTTCACAAACAGATGTTTATTCAGAAGAAATGTAGACTGACTTCTTCACAAAGGAGTAAGTACCAAAGGACTGACCATGACTATCGTCCAAGCAAAGATCGAGGCAATAAAACCATTTAGTAACAAACACACTGTCTAACAGCAGTCTAATGAGGTAAGTGCCCTTGACTTTATGTTAAGGGATTTGTGTCTGAGGAGAGGTTATGTTGATATGGAGATGTGTGGGGAGACGTTTTACAGTAAGGGTAATGGTATGTAAATGTTTGTTTATATGTGTATTGGACGGTCAGGTGTGCCAGAAACAAAGCGGTGAGACCTGCTATGATATATAGTTTGAAACCAGATGATCCAATGTAGCACCTCCTGGTGTAAATGAAAGATGATAATAAAAACATTTAAATTATGTTTTTTTTAGGAATGTCAGCATTGCTTAGGAATGATCTACACCGTCTAAAAAGAGCGTCATTGCTGCTGACAGCTGTCAGTTATAGGCAGTGTCACCTCATTTTCAATATAGAATGGAACATATATATAATTACGTAGATAATTTACATGTACTGTGCATGTATGACTTTATTTGGCAAATGGAACATTTAGTCTAGGAACAGTCTTCACAGATGAGTGCAGTCTCAATTTGTACTGACCTAAAGATCTACTTTCCAAACCAGTAAACTGAATCATTTTCCAGGAAATTACTTGTGGCTGTAAATGCTAATTTCCAAGTAATGGTGTATCTGGAGATGCCTGAAATCACAAACTTTGCACGGGGGGGTGGGTTCAGTGTGGTTCTCTGATAGGATTCAGACTAATGGCTGAATCCACTTTTCAGGTTTAGAAATATATGATTTAAAGGTAGAATACGACAAAAAAAAAAAAAACAGTACATAATTTTAAACCTAAACGGCAAATCTTCAACACCAAAACTAGACAGAGTAATCAATTCACTGAACGTGGTCAAACTAGTAGATTATCACCTGGACAAAAACACAATATTTATGAAATTCAGTAAGTCATTCTGTTGAATGTTATAAAATGACAACATTATATTAATGCTGATGTTCAATGATAATGTGTAGATATGTGTTTTTCAAGGCTGGACTATGTATGCAATTCTCCCACAGACTTGGCAACCCTTTTTTGCTGTAGTGATTTGCATTGCAGAAGCTGTCTTTCTGCAGTGTGCAATGTGTGCGTTCATGCATTATGCAATATGGCCATATTAATGTGTCAAAGTCATTCCCACGAACTTCACACTGAATCTGTCAATGCAGGCAGTGCTGTCAGGGTTCGAACACCTCACACATGTTGAGGCTGAATGTGACCGTTACTCTGTAACCAGCCAACTCCATTAAGAGGTGCGTGGCTGATTTATTTTCAAAGACCTCAGAGTGAACATTATCAATAGAAAATAATCATATCTACAGTGTTTGTAGCTCTTACTGTGACCACCTGGTGGGCTGTGATTTCATAACTATTGTGTTTTGTCCCATTTGATTCAACATTAACTGTAGCTGAAGTAGTTTTGACACAAAAGGCCACAGACAAAACGCTTTGGCAAAAGTAGCTATAAAAGCGCAGTTATTAATGCCTTAACAACATTAAAGTTGTTTACTGAACACAGACGAATTCCATTAGGGCCAAGCAGCAGTTCTTTAGTTGTTTGGTTTTTTCTTCCATGTTTTTTTTTCATGTTATTAGTAAGTGTTAACATGGTGTAGTTTAAGCATGTTGGCGTGAATCCCACGTTTCATTTAGAGGTGTGACTTTTCTGCAGTGTTTGGTTCATCATCACACTGTGCTACAGTGAAATATTGTGACTTCAAAAGCCCTTTTTAGGATGAGAGCTCTGTGAAAACACTGGGACTTTCATTATAGGTGGTCCATCCCATTATATGATGATGGATGACACCTGGCCGTCCACCAGACTGCTGACTTTGTAGGAAGGGGA